AAAAAAAAAAAAAAAAAAAAAAGGACTTTTAAGGGCCCTGGGTGGCCTGGTTGGTTCAGCGTCCAGCTCTTGGTTTCTGTTCAGGTCATGATTTTACAGCTTCGTGGGTTCGAGCTCCACATCAGGCTCTGTGCTGGTGGTTTGGAGCCTGCTCCTTCTCCCTCTCTCTCTGTCCCTCCCTCACTCGTGTGGTCTCTGTCTCTCTCAAAATAAATTTAAAAAACTTAAAAAAAGAAAGTACTTTTAAAAGTAGTATTCAATTTTGATACTCTCCTGTGTATGATTTTTGTAGTTACACTAGAAAATAGAATCATGCTTTATTTTGTTAGTCACTGTACTTTGAACCAGATTCCTTTTGAAGTCACTGAGAAATAAATTATCCTCACTTATATGGTTTAATTTTTAAATACTCATAGTCTATTTTCCCCTTTTAGATTAGTACAAATAAAAACCAATAATATAATATTGAAATAGTAAATGAATTGAGCTTTTCACCTAAAATTTTAATTGCTTTATTACAAGTGGGGATTGTGTGTTTAAAAAAAGAAAACACTGCTTTCACCAAGTTGAGATTTTAACCCCATAGTTTTCCAGCTGGCTTGTGTCTGCTACCTTCCACATGCTGTTCCTCATTTATTTTGACTCATCGATTTATTAGATAACCAGAGAATAGGAGAATCAGTGTCTCCCTGAATCTTCTTTGAAATTTCAAAATAAAATGAAACATCATGATTAAAAAGCAAACCGTGTGCCCACGTCCCGTTTTGAAGAATGCAGAAATAGAAGTGCTGGTGTGTATTGTGCAGGTCAGGGGGACAGGCTGGGAGGGACTGGCTCCGTGGGACAGGCGCTAAGCGCATCATATGCCTACGCCTTTCATCTTCACAACAGCCCTGTGAGGTGAAGTGGCTATAAATATTCTCCCCATTTCTTGGTTGAGGAAGTTAAGATCCAGAGGCACACGGCTGGTGAGCGCAGAGTTGGGATTTGTATCCAGGCTGGCCTCCTCCCTTGCCTGTGCTCCTAAGTGTGATCCTGCATCCACGTGACTGTACCCTGACTTCCCTGACCTCTCCCGCTGGAGACTCACTGTGTTAGCGGTTCTTTGATTGAGCTTCTGAAAGCAGTGCTTCAGGGTGCTTGAGGGTTTAATCGCCTTACTCATCCTCTGTCTTAAGTACCAGCTGCATACTGGCCACTCCATATATGTACACATACATATGTATACATACATATACGTCTATGTATATACGTATACATATGTATGTATGACATGTATGTATATGTATGTATATATGTATACACACACACACACACACACACACATATATGTATTTTAATTAATGGCGATAAAGATAGCACAGAAGAAAATGTACGTGACCTGGGGTGTGGATGGCTTTTGTAGATGCAACACCAAAGGCTTGATCTGTGAAAGAAAGAACTGACAAGCTGGACTCCATTAAAATTAAGAATTTCTCCTCTGCAAGAGAAGACTGTCAAGAGAGTAAGAAGACAAGTCAGATACTGGGAGAAAATGTTTGCAAAAGATAAATCTGATGAATATTATCTAAAATACGTAAAGAACTTTTAAAGCTCAAGAGTAAGAAAATAAAGTACCCAGTTAAAAAAATGGACTAAATACCTCATCAGACACTTCACCAAAGAAGATACATGGATGGAAAATAAGCACACGAAAGATGATCCACCTCATGTGGCGTTAAGGAAATGCGAGTGAAACAAGGACATACCACAACACATTTACTTGTATGGCTAAAATCTGGACCACTGACAACCCCAAATGCTGATAAGAGTGCGGAATAACAGGAACTCTCCTCCATTGCCGGTAGGAGTGTGCAATGGTGCAGCCATTTGGGAAACCAGTTTGGCAGTTTCTTACAAGACTAACGTACTTTTAGCATATGATGCAGCAACCATGCTCTTTGGCGTATACCAGAGGACTTGAAAGTTTGTGTCTGCACAAAAACCTGCACACAGATGTTTATAGCTGCTTTATTAACCATAATTGCCGAAAGTGCAAGCAACCAAGATGTCCTTCCGTGAAAGGATGAACTGTGGTACATAGAGGCAGTGGGATGGTAACCAGTGCTGAAAAGAAATGAGCAATCAAGTTAGGAAATGGTATAGAGGAAACTTCAATCTCATTACTGAGTGAAAGAAGCCAATCGGAAATGGCTACACATTGGATGATTCCAACTCTGTGGCTTCTGCAAAAGGAAAAAACAAAGAGATAGTAAAAAGATCAGTGTTGCCAGTGTTGGGGAAGAGGAGAGAGAAATGAATAGGCAGTCTACAAAGGAATGTTTTAGGGCAGTGATACTATTCTGTATGATACTATAGTGGTGGATACATGGTGTTACACATTTTTCCAAACCCGTAGAATGTTTAGTACCATGAGTGAACTGTAATATGGTCTTTGAGTTATAATGATGTGTCATCATAGGTTCATTGATGTAACAAATGTACCATTCTGGTGGAGGATGTTGATAACCGGGGACAGCTTGGTGGTGGGGTGGTATATAGGAACTCTGTTCTGTTCGATTTTGCTGGGAACCTAAAACTGATCTGAAAAATAAAGTCTAATAAAAAAAACCCAGTAATATTGTGCTCTGAATGTGGTCAAATGGCTTGCAGGGGTATAATTTCTTATAGGAAATCATAGAAGGTAAAGATAAAGTACGTTTTTCTATAATGACAATACTTGGGACACTGAATATGTAGGTTTTCTATACAAAACAATTTTTGTTATTTAAATATCACAAATCTTTTTTTTTTTATTTGTCACCATTAAATGTCAGAGTTTTAAACAAGATTCTTGGACCAGGGGCTCACATTCCATCAGCTTGTTCAACTTTAGCACTGGTGTCATTCCCAGGAGCTTTTCCAGAACCTTCACCATGAAGCTTAATCAGTTTTACCAGTTCATACTTCCCAATGCTTTTTCAGCATTTTTACTTTTCTGACAGAGACATCATGGAGTGGGTAAATAGACTGACGAGCCTTTTCTGATGCCATTTGGAGTCTATTTATCGACCACTCTTTTCAAGTCATTTGTCTGTACCTCTTGGGTCATGACTTCCATCATCTTTTTTGGAATTTGGCAGACCTATTGGTGCTTAGCATAAGAGGTCTTCTGAATATGATTGTTGCATTTTTAAGTAAAATCAACACAAAATAGATGAAGCAGATGACCATTCCTAGTCACGGCATCAATGTGAGCTTCAGTCATGGTCTGCCATTTTTGACCATGGAGCACCATTTGTCAGTGGTAAGATCCATGCCATGGAACTTAGACAGGAAGTTTTTGCCCTGAACATCCTCAATAATTAGCTTGAATTTTCTAAATGTAACTTCATTGTTCTGCAGATCAGCAAGGCTCACTTCTCAAACACTGTCTTGGAGGCCATCAGATGCAATTTCGATTCCTTGAGTTCTTGTGATTAGTGTTTTTTCCAATATTTCTTAAAAAAATTTTTTTTGTAATGTTCGTTCATTTTTGAGAGAGAGAGAGAGAGAGAGAGACAGAGTGCAAGCAGGGGAGGGGCAGAGAG